AAGTGGGTGTGCAGACTGATGAGTTATATAACCAGATGTAAGGGTTGATGTGGCCGGAGAAATTGTCTGACATCCATGAGTTGGTTCTTTTGCTTGTTTAGCATAGTGCAGAGTCATATTATCTCTTCACAGTTTTGAACCAGTACAGCACTACCTCCTCAAGGCAATTGATGTAGGACACGGTGTTAAGTTTGAGACCCACATCAACAAATTCTTGAGTGTTTTTCTTATCAGAATGATCAAAGTGAGTTTTCGGAGCTGCCTTACCTTCATACTCGCCATTAGACTCAACCAACAATTTACTCAACGCATCCTTTTTATAGATAGATAGAAGGATAGATAGATTAAACAAATTTAGATGGGTAGATTTCTGAATGTAATTGTTGGCATAGCGATAGTTCCTTCAATCTAATGAATAGAATGAGATAGATAGATAGATAGATAGATAGATAGATAGATAGATAGATAGATAGATAGATAGATAAAAACGACTTAGATAGAAATCAACATAGATGGATAGATAAAAAACAAACTTAGATAAAAACAATCTTTCATAGATAAAAGCAAACTTAGATAGATAGATAGATAGCTGAATGTAATTATTGGTATGGCGATAGTTTCTTTAACCTATGAGATATAAACGTTGACATATTGTTGCATCCGAGTTTTGTATTTTCGCACAAATTCCCAACAATATAAACTGAAATATTTAAAAGACCATGAAGAAGAATGCTATGTCAAATATTATCTGTACGAAAAAGAGTATAAAATGTTAAATTATAATTTGCTCATGTATAAATGATGACTTGTAGGCAATAAAGTTTGATATATTAATATTTATTTATTACCAGCAGAATTTGGTTGGAAATTTCAAACACGCTAATGTTTTTCACATCATAATGTAAATTTTTAGGTCGTAATTTCTGCCACGTATTGAGAATGCTGTGCCACCAACAAACTACTTTTAAAGTAATTATTATTTTATTTTTTTACATATTATTCTGTACAAGTCCGAAAGGCCACACGTGGGAGAGGTTAAGTTTATGGATATATGTAGGGAAGGTTACAGTTAACCCAAGACAGGTTACGATTGTAATGATAGGCGAAGCATCCTCTTGGCAGTCGGTTCCAGAATGTAGAGGTTCACGGGATGAAACTCTCCGTGTGGAATTTATATCTCCCCAATGGAATACGGAGTTAATTAGGGTTTCTTGTTACCATGTGCTTGGCTTAGCGGGTCTTAAACGTGAAGAGTAGAAATGGCGGAACTAAAGAAAATAGTTCGTAAAGAGATGAAATTTCAATCACGCTAATATTTTTCACATCCTAATATAAAGTTTTAGGTGGTAATTTTTATCACTTGGGCAGAGTATTGCGAGATAGGAGGCTTTCTTTGCTAACAAAGAAAAGAATACTGAGCTGTTACGTGACATCTGTCGTTCTTTGCAGCAGCTGGGCGATTTCCTCAAGGATAGAGAAGAGACTCGAGGCGACGGAGATGTAGTTCTACAGAAGGAGCCTGACGATTTCGTGGACCGAGCGTGTGAGCAACAACGCGGAGGTCTTGAAGAGGATGCAGACAAGGAGGAGGCTCATGCTTAACAACAGCAAGAGAGAGCTGAAGTTTCAGGGACACATAATGAGGAAGGAGGGTCTGGAGAATCTGGTACTCACAAGCCGAAAAAGGGAAAGACAGACAAGGGAAAGCAGTACATGACATTCCTGGCGGACTTGAGCAGGTATGTGACAGAACGTGGTCCAGCGGAGGAATCAAAGGGGAGGAACTTGTTGAGAGCTGCAAGTGATAGAAGGAGGTGGAGAGCCATGATCGCTTACCTCCTGAAAGGACATGGCACATAAAAAGAAAGAAAGATTGAATAAACAGTGTCACCAACAAAAACTACCAAAGTAATTATTATTTTTTTTACATATTAACCTGTACAAGTCCCAAAGACCACTCGTGGGAGAGGAGAGGTAAAGTTTATAGCTATACTAGCAGTAGAGCCCGGCGTTGCCCGGGGATATTACAGTAAGAGATAGATCAAGTATCGATCATCATAAAGACTGAAAAATAAAATTGACAAAGATTATTGTTTAAGGTTGACGGACACGCATGTCTTAATTAGGTTTTTTTTTGTTTTGTTGGTTTTTTTTACGAATTGGTCAAACCCAAACTCAAACAAAAGCATTGTTTTCAATCGTTATGAGTCTATCGATTGAATAGAATTTTATTATAAACAATTGTCTTGTAAATGGAATTTTTAAAGCATTCTGAATGTAAAAATAAAGAAAAAACTGTGCAAGACAATAAGAAACACTACCTGCCAAAAAAAAAGTGAAGTTTTGTTGAAATCGGTTGAAAAATGTAGGAAATCCGATCCCATATATAAACGAACACAGTCACACACAAACAACCTGGGTTTTATAAGTATAACTCGATATGAGTTGTCCCCCCTTTCATTCTGGCGACAGAATCGTGTTTTATCGTGTTTTCAAATTGATTTCGCGCAAAAACATTTGTGTTTTTCCCATTTTTGGCGCTGTCAGAACCATTGCAATGTAATTTTACGTAGTCCTGTGAAGTTTTGTTGAAATCGCTTCAAAAATGTAGGAAATCCGATCCAATATATAAACGTACAGACGCACACACACACACAATCTGCGTTTTATAATAAGTAAAATAAGATGTAGGGAAGATTTCAGTTAACCCTAGACAGGTTACGATTGTAACGATAGGAAAAGCATCCTCTTGGGAGTTGGCTCTAGAAAGTAGTGTTTTACGGGAAGAAACTGTCCAATAGAATACGGAGTTAATTACGGTTGTTCGCTACCATATGCCTGGTTTAGCGGGTCTTAAACGTGAAGAGCAGAAATGATGGAACTAAAGAAAATAGTTCGTCTGAACACTTTCTACGGAATGAGACTTCCGTGGGAAAGAGGTTTTAGGGTGTAAAATAATTCATCATCCACAAGGCCGCGGATGCACTTTGGGAATCTATCGAAAATGGAAAAGTGGAGGCCTCTCACCCACTACCTATATACGGTAGGAGTTCACTATTTTCGGCCTGATCTAGCTTCTATAATGGCAGGTGATAGAAGGAGGAGTCAGGTTTCCTAATTTTAATTATTTTAGATAAGCTGAAAAAAAAAACATTAAAACTCGAGCAGTATTATTTTCCTGATAATTTAGAAACATTTTATTGAATAATTTAGTGTTTATTTATGTTTTAACTAATGACTGTTTTCATTAATGGCCGCTTTCATTAATTCATATTCATTTATTATATGTTTTAATCAATTTGTATTAATAGAAATGTTCCGTAGGCTTGTCCCGAAATCCGATCTTATTTATAAAATGCTAATTAAACAGACTCCATAGCATGATATATGAAAACTTGATAGTGTTTATTGTATTAATTAACGGTACATTACGATTACTGATAAAGCACAGGCCAATCTATCTATCTATCTATCTATCTCTCTCTCTCTCTCTCTCTCTCTCTCTATATATATATATATATATATATATATATATTGTTATGGTTCAAGGTTAGGACCATGGAAGAACAACACGCAACACAAGAGTAGAAATAACAAAGAATATATTACACGAAAACTAATACAAGAAGTGGAAGGTGTTAGTATGGCTGTCAGACTGGTTTGGAGTGAACTACAATCAGTTCGACTCGATTCAATACCGTTATTTAACAGTCCCCCACGAGGAATGTATGGGGCACAAGGCCGAGTTTAATGTGGGTATCTCCGAGCCCATAGGCTCGGCCAAAAAAATACCCTTTGAACCCGCCTAGACGGGTTCAAGGCTTGTCTACCTCCCCGGACGAAACTTTGACCTTCGGCAAAGCTTCGTCTGGGTTCCTCTCTGCCAAAGCAGAGAGTTCGACAGAAGTCGCACACAGTCAGAGACTGTAGGTGACTCGATTCAATGCCAATATTTAATAGTCCCCCCACGAGGAATGTATGTGGCACAAGGCCGAGTTTAATGTGGGTTTCTCCGAGCCGGTAGGATCTGCCAAAAAAATACCCTTTGAACCTGCCTAGACGGTTTCAGGGCCTGTCTACCTCCCCGGACGAAACTTTGCCCTTCGAAGGGCAAAGTTTCGTCCGGATTCCTCTCTGCCAAAGTACAGAATTCGACAGAAGTCGCACACATCACTGCGGCTGACTTGATTAAATACCGTCCGTCTCTCTGGAGAGGCGTAGTATATATAGCGTTAGGAAGAGTTCATTCTGTCGATCTAAGTAAGGACCCATGACATACATATATATATATATATATATATATATATATATATATATATATATATATATGACGAAAGATACTCTTAAGGTGTGCCATATTTATGGGATAAAGTGCTCAATATCAATGACAGAGCATGTGTAAATATAAAAATGAACATTGAAGTCAACACTTAGAGGCGACAGTCTGTTTCATGCGAGACACAATCGTCAAGCCACTCGTGTTGACAAAATGTTCACTTATATATATACAGACGTAGATGGGAAAATCTTTGTACATACTGATTTGGCACTGTTTAAAATTTAAATTAACTTTCACCACCCTCGTGAATACGTCAACAAGGAGCTTGCATTATTAGACGTATCATGGTTTGTCGGTGGAAAGTGCTTGGCGGTATTAAAATGGCCGGAGGTGCTTACATGGTCTTCCCGAAAGAGCACTTTGAACCTTCGTTAAAAAAAACAAGTATCGCTTTCAGGAGAAAGTATTGTATTAAAAATAATGCTTCCTTGCATGCAGCGCATAAAACTACGGAGTACCTGTAATAATTAAGTTTCTGTGGACATTGCAAAATGAAATGACCGGCCAAATTTCCAGTCTTAGACCCAATCAAAAAATTGTGGGGCAGGCTCTAGCAACGGGTTTACGAGAATGGACATCAATTTAGAAGCCAAGGGGACTTGTGGAAAGCAATAGTGAATCTACCACATGATATTACATCAGAAGAGATCCAGAAATTGGGATGTTCCATGGATCAGCACCATATCTATGTCATTTCAAGAAGAGGATGACATATCCCTTATTAACCAACTCTGCTATTTTATTTGTAGATTTCTTTTTTATTCCAGTTCGGTTACGGTATGTATTCATAACAATCTGTATATGAAGCAATTATACCGTAATTTACATGTTTCCATGAGTTTTAATTACACCTCGCTACTAATTTGATACAGTTATAATTTAAATAAATTAGATGGTTAGTAATCATTTTATGTATCCGTTTCGAGATCAAATCTGCATTTGCTCGACGTGTACTTAGTTGGTCGCACGATTGAAGACCTGCATCCATTTTCTTTCTTTTCGTCAAATCTGCGAAATCCTACTCTTACCCAAGTCAGCTATTAGGTTTTTTGGTCGAAAGAAGCAACTTGATATATTAGACGAGTTCGATAACAACCGCGTCTCGAAAAACGGTGAAGGAATTGATATTTACACGGGATAGTACATAGCACATAACTCGTTTGGGGTACCCACTGACGATCAAACTCCATACAGCAGTAATAGTTAATTTCTTTTTAATAACTATTGTTCTGTGATGACCTCATCGGTGTGGTGTAATGGATAACGAGCTAGTCTGTTTGACGATTGTTATTTCGTAATCTCGCTCCACAATGAATACCCTATACTTGTTGGCTTGAAATAAAGAAACTAGAAATACACGTGAAAATATCACGAATTTTCTTATTTGAATTTTCTGATGAATATTAATTTTTAAATTTAGTAAGCTTACGTTGAATTCTAAAATGAATCTCCTTATCGCATTTTTAATTAATTGAGTTTAACAACTTTAATAAAATATTTCAATAACAATCACAATAATGATGGTCGTTCTTTCAAGAAGTAAGGAAGTATAAATAAAAATAGATAGAAAGTAACAGCATGTTCCATTTCAATGAAACAACTGTTAAGCACTTCTATCTTCCCTTCTTTCTTTCTTTCTTTCTTTCTTTCTTTTTTTCTTTCTTTCTTTCTTTTTTCTTTCTTTCTTTCTTTCTTCCCTTCTTTCTTTCTTTCTTTCTTTCTTTTTTCTTTCTTTCTTTCTTTCTTTCTTTCTTTCTTTCTTCCCTTCTTTCTTTCTTTCTTTTTTCCTTCCCTTCTTTCTTTCTTTCTTTCCTTCTTTCTTTCTTTCTTTCTTTCTTTCTTTCTTTCTTTCTTTCTTTCTTTCTTTCTTTCTTTCTTTTTCTTCTTTTTTTTGCTTTTTCCCATTGAAACAAAGTCGCATCATTGGTAAATTTTTCCACGCAGTCAAAACGGAATAATCCATTATTTATCAGGTACTGGTAGGAGACGTTAAAATTTCTTTTATCTTTCCTTGTTTGTTTGTTTGTTTCTTTCTTTCTTTCTTTGTTTCTTTCTTTCTTTTTGACTTTTCCTATTGAAAGCAAGTTGCATGACTGATATATCTTTCTACGCGATCAAAACGGTATAATCTATTGTTTATTAGGTATCTTTCTTTTTTACGTTCTTTTCTTCTTTTTCTTTCTTTTTTTTTGTTTAACTAAAACCAAGTAGCGTCGCTTTTAGGGGTTTTCTGGGGGTGGGGTTCACGCGATAAAAATTGTATAAGCCATTATTTATCAGGTATTAGGCGGAGACATTAAACGATTCTTTCTTTCATTTTCTCGCTGAAACTATGTAGCGACTCTGATATGTCTTTCCCGTCTTTCCCGTCTTTCCACGTGATCAAATGGAATATTCCATTGTTTATGAAGGTACTGTCTGGGCGTAACGTACGTTCAAAGTGAAGGACAAGCAAAAATATAATGAGATAATAATAATAATAATAATAATAAGTAGTCGTCATCAGCGTAGTAGTAGTAGTAGTAATAGAAGAAGAAGAAGAAGAAGAAGAAGAAGAAGAAGAAGAAGAAGAATTTCAGCGTGTTCTTTATGTTCTCCAGCCTGATCGTCAAATTTCAATTTAATCATAAATTCGCTATTTAAGCTCATAAGGAAATGGCGTCCTACTAATGGATTACAATAAAAATCCTCGCCACTTCCTTTTGAGTAAAAAACAGAATGATCAAGAAAATAAAATAAAACCACCAAGTGATTAGAAATGAAAGTAGTCAAAAATTATTCGCGTTTAGAGATAAAAAGAAGAAAAAAGAAAAAAACAAAGAAAAGAAGGGGGAAAAATTTAGAGAAACGCGAGCCAGTTGCGTTTAATAAAGCAATTTGCGTGTCGAATGAAGATTCAGTGAAATTTATTCTTGCTGACAAGATGATTTTACGCGAAAAATTAAAGTCCGCATTAGTTGGATTGTTGTAGCTTCTAACCAATAATGTCTTTCTGATCATTTGATCAGATATTTAAAATTTTACACGTTTTCACTTTTCCTATTCTTCGCTCTACGCACACACACACACACACACACACACACACACACACATATATATATATATATATATATATATATATATATATATATACTAAATTTTTGATAAATTGATCACATATATTTAATATTGCTCTTTTCACTCTTCCTATCACCCTATATATATATATATATATATATATATATATATATATATATATATATATATATATACAACATAAAACAACATGTAAAAATCGCTACACAATTGTAGTCTTGTTTGTGCGCATACCAATACGTCTCCTCAGGCGATTGTAAATTCTTGGCGATTAATTCTTGAACGTTTAATTTGGCGTCAAAATTTATATACATGCTCTTTTTTCGAAAAAAAAGTTTTAAGGCTTGAGGACTTTATTCTGATCAACCAATCGAATATGACCTACGTTAAATTCAAACTAAACTAAAAAGAAAAAAATGTAAAAAGTTTCTTAGAAATCGGTTATGACCGGAAGTTAACTGCCAACAGCAGCCAGACATAAAATTAAAAAAATGATACAGACAGTTCTAAAAGTGTATACATGTCAGACTGACAACTTTCCCAATAAATAAAAGTAGACTTAGAGAAGTAATTCAATCTAATGCAAACTTTTTATATGATTTGTGAATTTCCTACATATTTTTTGTACTGGATAAATAAGAGACATCTTTAAGAAACTAGTAAATAATTCAAACGTATAGAATTATTTGGTAAATTAATATGTAACCTTTAAATAAAGATCATCTATATACCATGATAATAATAGCTAACAATCAACATAATATGCCAAAAATACTAGCTAACTACTAATACATCATGTAAAATATTACTAATGCTAACAGGCGATTAATACAGAACTATATTACATCCAAATTTTGCTTACAAATAAAATAATAAGCCATATATGGCGCAATGCAGTTCATTTAAAATATAAGAAAACCCATTATCACATTCCAAAGTTTAACTAAATTTTAGGTAAAAGGTAGACTATGTTTACAATTTGCCGTTAATTCTCTACAATGATTTAATAGAGAGTTTTTATCATAAAATCTGATAAATATCCATTTTTTATGTAAACACAGAAAACATGACTCATATGGAGATCTACATGTTCTTTGCTATTTTTAAAATTTTCCATTTCACCTTAGGAGTTTTATTATCATCTTTTAAAGACCAAAATATTTAGAAAGTGATGCATTATTTCCATAAGTAAAATTGGTGAAGGACAAGATATGTTGATACCACCTCGTCTTAAAAGAATTCTTAGTACTACCAATATAAAATTGTTCAACTTATTCAGAAAGTGATGCATTATTTCTATAAGTAAAATTGGTGAAGGACAAGATATGTTGATACCAACTCGTCTTAAAAGAATTCTTAGTACTGCCAATATAAAATTTTTTAACCGTCGGATTTTCTATTGTAGAGATAGTACTTAGATAAACGAGAGATTTAGTTAAACATTAGTTTGGCAATGGACATGTGTTATAATTCCTACAATTACATGTTTTAATATCCAATGAATAATTAATATTGCTCTACTCTGTAGTAAGCCCTCCTTTAAATTAATTGTATGAACTTTGGAATTGTACTCTATTCGTTCTCTTCTTAATTGGATATATATATATATATATATATATATATATATATTAGATTATGATATATATTTTCATGTATCAAGAAATATATATTTTCAAAATGTATCAAGAAATAGTATTTATTTTTAAATTTGGAGCAATCTTACAAAATGGTAGCTGTGTCAATACAGCGACCAAATTAGAAAGAATATGGAGGAGTTCAAACTTTTTACTGGAAGTCTCCATTCTCCCATATGGATGTGAAACGCGGACACTGTGGGAAGATATAGAGAAAAATATCCAAGCGTTTGATAATAGATGCATGAGAAAACTCCTTGGCTTCTTTTATTGGAGAAATAGAACCAATGAGTTTGTGCAGAAAAGGCTTGAACGTTTTTGTGGACATTTGGAACCTCTTCTCACCACTGTCAAATGGAGAATAATGACGTGGTTCGGACACATTACAAGGCACGGCAGTCTTTGCAAAACTGCCATGCATTGCACCGTTGAAGGTGGACGTAAAAGAGAGGAGACCAACACAAAAACTTGTTTGACAATGCCAAACAATAGACAGTTATGGAGTACTAGAAATCTTGCATTTATTGGAAATATTCATAGAAATATGAGTTAATTTTTCTTATTCAGTTTATTAAACAGGTTGTTAATTTTTTTTTTTAAAACGGAAAATAACTGAGTTGAAAATTCACAAGAATGTCCTAAACGATCCTAAGGAAAGAAGAAGGAAAAGAAAAGAAAAAAGGAAGGAAGGAAAAAAAAGAAAGAAAAAGAAATGTATGACGCATGACCCAGTTGATGGTAGAGATAGGTCTGCGTGTGGTCGACTTTATTTTTTTTTTAAACCATTGGAAATGGATGATATGAAACGGTCAGACTGACCTGTGGGAAAACCCCTTATCAATTTGGAGTGAAGAAAATTTTTATTTTTTTTTCCAAGCGAAATTTTGATCTGAGAGAAATCTTTGGGTTGAGGGAGTGACCAGTGAAACGATATACGGAATGACCTGTTAAGAAAACCACGTTAAGAAAGTGGAGATATTTCGACCTAGATAATTAAGATTTTCGACTATCAGGAGTAAAAAAAGAAAATTGTTTTGGACCACAGAGAACCGGAAAAATCCTTTTGTCAAGTAATTAGCAGCGGGCTGTTTGACAAAGTCCAGGTGAAAAGCTTAAAGATTGTCATTTTGCGTACGTGCAAAAGGGGGCAAAATTGGATTTTGTTTTTTTAAACAAGAACGATGTAACCACGCCCGCAAACAGAGGGGAGAGGATGTTCGGTCAAACAATTGGTCGAATACAATCACGTGACCGCGGAAGAAGAAGGAAAGAAAACCTCGATCAATAACTGTTGGAATGGAAAGAAGAATCGATCGGGAACGATTGGTTCGGACACCTGACATGAGAGAGAGACACGGCGATAATGGAAAGTCTTAATACGACTTTTGGAATTATCGAGAAAAACTGACAGCAGTTTGTTTGCAGGACCCCAGTTGAAAAGTTTGAGTTGAGATGACGTAAAAGGGGAAGATCCTGAACGCGGACATAAGACCGATTCACAAAGAACCCTCAGACAGAAGGACTTCCAGCCCAAGTCGAAGACAGAAACTTGCCAAGTAGATGAAGAAGAAGATTGCCTGAAAACCTGAGAACAGTTGGAGCTGAAGTTGGAGCTGAAGTTGGAGCTGAAGAATTTGGAGTTGTTGGCTCGGACGACCCTTGTTGAAGACCGTCTTCCACCGAAGGAAATTTCCACTGAATGGTTTCTGGGTTGAAACAAGAAATCTACCAGTTAAACAGAAGAAGAAGAAGAAATACAACTCAAGTCGGAGAGAAGATCTGCGAATGATCAGCCCCCGAACTGAACCATCCGACATACAAATGATTCTAGAAAGTAGGTAATGATTTTGATGATGATGGTGCCATAGTCCACAGAGCGGGTCGGGAATTGAGAACAAATGTAACGGACTTTAAGAAAGGTTGTTACCCTTTTAAAATTTTGTTTGGTGTCGTGGGTTTTATTTTATTTGTGTTTTGCCACCCCGTCGGACTCAACTTTATCGGCCCCGATCCCTGCTGGTCCCGTCTGTCTAAGATCTAAACGCGTGGGTAGACAGACGGAGATCGGTATAGTTGCTTTGGTATTTCACTGGTGATCATGACCAAAGGGTTCACGCTTGGACCCAACGACCAGGAGGAGCGACGTCACCTAACCAAAGGATCCGACAATTTCAAATTCTGATTTTGAATGAGACCGTGGTGATTTAGTGTTTTTTG